ATCGAGCCAAGTTTCAATGAGTTTTGACACAGATAAAAAAAAAAAAAAAAAGAAAAGAAAAGAAAATAGCTAGGCCCTGTGGCGGGTGCCTGTAGTCCCAGTTACTTGGGAGCCTAAGGCAAGATAATTGCTTAAGCCCAGGAGTTGGAGGTTTCTGTGAGCTGTGATGCCACAGCAATCTACCCAGGGCAACAATTTGAGGCTCTTTCTCAAAGAAAAAAATTTTTTTCTTAGTGATCTTTAATGTCTTTAATGTCTGATCATTCTTGCAAATGTCTCAGATATATTCTATTAGTTTACTATGTAATCTGTTGCTTTCTGAAAGAAATATGCCAAAGGCTCTCACTGGCACTGGGATTAGTCATTGACAATTTCTCTTTGGGTTTCTGTCAACTTTTACTTTCCATTTTTCAAAGCTGAATTGCCAAGTACATAAGGACTTAAGACTTATTTTGATTTCTCTTTTATCTGATTAATCTTGCCACACTTGTTTTTTGTTGTTCTGAGAATATGTCTGGTAGATCTTTTTCCATTCTTTTATTTTTAAACCTTCATGGATTGACTTATTTTAGGTATATCTCATATGAATGTTAAACTTTTTAAATCAAATCAGAAACTCTCTGCTTTTTAAAAGCAAATTTGACTTATATACATTTATCACAATTATTTGTCTAAACTTAAGCTTGTCATTTTATTTTATAAATCAATTTACGTGAATAGTTTCTTACTTTTCCTTATTTCTATGTTTGATCCAGTTTTATTTCATAAAAAAAGGAAATCAAAATGAAATTGTAGATGTAGGTTCAAACCTGATTGCAAATTATGTATCATATTTTTCTTGCATTCACTTTTGTTTCAAGTCTTTCATCATCTGAATTCTAAAATTTACTCACTGGTAACTTTATGGTTTTAAATGGTAAGCCTTCTGAGTCCTTATTCTTGTGAAAAAGTCATTATTTTGCCCTCATGCTGGAATTGTGTTGGCTGAGGAAAAAATTCTAATTTTAAATTGTTTTCCCTGGAAATTTTTAAATTACTGCTTCACCTTTTTTCTTTCTTTCTTCTTATTAATTTATTGAAAAGTCATGTCAATCTGATTCTCATTCTTCTATAGTCTTTTTCCCCCCTCTCTAAGCTGTTTTTTTAATCCTTGGTTTTCTAAGTTTTTTTAAAATTCATCCTGTTTAACTCTGAGATCCTTTCGATCTGAATAATTGTTTCTTTCTTCAGTTCTTGACATGTTTTCTTGTACAACTGCTTTTAGTGTGTGTTCAGCTTTGTTCTCTTATTTTTCCTTCTAATAATTCTCATAGGTGGGTGTTGGAATTACCCAGTAGATTTATCAGAACTCTAAGTTTTTCTTTCATACTGTTCATTTCTTTGTTCTATTGCATTACTTTCTGAAAGAACTTCACAGCTAAATTTTCAGCTCACAAATTAATTCTTCCATGTGTCTGTACCATTGTTGTGCCTGTCTGTTGTTCTTTTTCATAACAGCCCTTTCTAGTTTTAGGATAGCAATATTCTCTTTCATGGATCTGAAGATACAACTGAAGTACTCCTAAAATGTATTCTTCTTTGATCCCTCCACTGTTTGCTCCAGTGTTCATTCTTGTTTGTTGAGTTTTATGCCTCTTTCGTGTAGTGTTGGTTGCCTCAAGCACTAGTGATTCTCAGCTGTAAATTTACCTGTGTCTCTCCTCATCTCAAGAACAGTAGAAGGCACTGCTTGGCTGAACGTGCCAGTTCCTGGATTTCAAGGCATGCTTGGCAGGCCTGGGCTGGATTCGAACCTGTCAGCTCTGATGTATGTGGCTGGAGCCTTAGCTGCTTGAGCTACAGGTGCCAAGCCCACAAAGAAAATTTTAACAGACTCCATCAAGCAAAATACATACAGGCCACAGTCACTAGCCACAATGCAATATAATTAGAAATTAACAGAAAACCAGGAAAAAAAAATCTATAGAAATCTGGAAATTAAAAAGAGACTCTTATACGATAACTTTTGGGTTAAAGAACTCAAATGGAGGGCAGTGCCTGTGGCTCAGTGGGTAGGGTGCTGGCCCCATATACTGAGGGTGGTGTGTTCAAACCCACAACAAAAAAAATAGCTAGGCATTGTGGCGGGCGCCTGTAGTCCCAGCTACCAGCTACTCAGGAGGCTAAGACAAGAGAATCACCTAAGCCCAGGAACAGGAGGTTGCTGTGAGCTGTGTGATGCCACAGCACTCTACTGAGGGCAATAAAGTGAGACTCTGTCTCTACAAAAAAAAAAAAAAAAAGAACTCAGATGGAAATCTCAAACTATTTAGAAATGAACAATGAGGATATTATGTCAGTTATTAAGCTATTGCACCTTTGTGTCTTAGCTCCAAATCTGCTTCTTATCCTCTGCTTTGCCATGCTGGGGCTGAAGTCTGTTAACCACTTTCAGCTTTGACAGCAGCTGCTCTGCCAGTGTGGGACACTAGAGGGAGACCAGACTACAGGGATGGAGAAGGGAGAAGAAACTTGTTTTTCTGGTTTGCTCTCATCACCCTAGCAATGGTTGCTCACCTTGGCAGCAACAGTTGGCTCTAGCCTCCACCTGTTTTCTGGCATTCCCACCTCACTGTCCTTCTTCAGAGGCAGGAGAACCAAATGGATAGCATCCTTTCCTCAAAGTCTGAGTCCCAGCCCTGCAAGGCCCCTGGATAGATCTGATGGCCCAGCATCTGTGGGGTAGTATGCCTTCTTTAGAGGTGGAGTCCCATTTCTATCGTCTTTCCTGCTTCACAGTTCCTTAGCGTCCAGACCTAGTGGGTACTAGCTGCTTCCTGCAGTAATCACCTCAGGTTCCCTTTGGCTGTCAGCCCTGGGTGTAGTGGATGTTACTGTAGCAACCTGCATCCCCTCTGATCCCTTTACCACTTTAGTGCCCACAAGCTCACAGTGTGCTTTCATATCCAGCATCTGTGCTTCCTTTTCATGTGCCCAGAGAGTCCGAGTAACTGAGAATTCCTGTTCCCCAAGGAGCAGCCATTAGCAAATGACTACAAAAACATTATGGCAGCTCCCTTGCCTGGGTCAGGACTTTGAGAGATGTGACCCACACTATCTATAGACTCCCCTGTGGAACTGTGCCAAAGACACTCTCCATAAACTTGCTTGATGCCACATCCTGCTTGGTGTCTTTCCCTCCTTTCCTGGTCCTACAACCTTACTCCTCTCCTAGTTTTATCTGGGAGTTTCTTCCTAATGAACTATACACACAGGTCCTCCTCTTAAGGTCTGCTTCTAGAGAACTCAAATGAGACACTGTAACCAATTACATTCTTTGTATTGAGATGCCTGGTGTGGCTTCTGTTTTTCTGACTTGTCTCTGATTGATAAAAAGCATTACTCAGTTAAATCTGAGGAATATGACCAAAGCAAAATTTAGAGGCACATTTACAGCATTTAACACATGTATAAGACAAACTGAAATGAACTAAGCTTTCAACTAAAAAGCTAGAAAAATAAAAATAAATATAAATAGGCACAAATGTTGATGCAAGAGGAAAAAAAGTCAATAAAACTTTCAAAAAAGCCTTTTTAGAAAATCAATATAATAAATTGAAAAATCTTTGGCAAGTCCAATTTTTTTTTTTTTTGAGACGGAGCCTCAAGCTATTACCGTGGGTAGAGTGCCATGGCATCACACTCACAGCAACCTCCAACTCCTGGGCTCAAGCGAGTCTCCTGCCTCAGGCTCCCAAGTAGCTGGGACTACAGGCGCCCGCCACAACGCCTGGCCATTTTTTGGTTGCAGCCATCATTGTTGTTTGGCGGGCCGGGGCTGGGGATTCGAACCCGCCACCTTTAGGTGTATGTGGCTGGCGCCTTAGCCGCTTGAGCCACAGGCGCCAAGCCGGCAAGTCCAATTTTTTTTTTTTTTTTTTTGAGACAGAGCCTCAAGCTGTCCCCCTGGGCAGAGTGCCGTGGCATTACAGCTCACAGCAACCTTCGACTCCTGGGCTCAAGCGAGTCTCCTGCCTCAGCCTCCCAAGTAGCTGGGACCACAGGCGCCCGCCACAACGCCCAGCTATTTTTTGGTTGCAGCCGTCATTGTTGTTTGGCGGGTCCCGGCTGGGGATTCAAACCCGCCACCTTAGGTGTATGTGGCTGGCGCCTTAGCCGGTTGAGCTATAGGCGCCGAGCCAGCAAGTCCAATTTTTAAGAAAAAAATTTACTGAAGTTGATTTAAGAAATACAAAACCTAAGTAGACTGACTAATGGCCCCTATGAAAAATTGAAAAGATATACACAAAACTGTCCTTCAAAGAAGCATCATCCAAATGAGTTTATGGGCAAAGTTTTACCAAACCCGCAAAAAAAAAAAAAAAAAAATTCTCATACAGACTATGCTCAGTGTATAGGACAAAAAGGAAAATATTCTGGTTCATTTCACAAAGTTAGTATAACATTGATATTAGAAACACACAAGAAAAGACAATCAAGAAACATATATAAAAATGTGCAATACTTGTAACTCACAAAAAAACTCTACATACTTCATTTTCTACAGCACTGTCTGGAAGAAGCACTAACTGGCAATAGGGGTCACCTCCAGAAAGCTTTGCATGTGTAAATATTTAAATGTCTGTGGAGGAGAGGGCTTGCCATTTATCTGTATTGTTTGAAATAATTCTATCTTGTTTTATTTTTTGTTGGAGACAGAGTCTCACTTTGTCACCTGTGGTAGAATGCCGTGGTGTCATAGCTCACAGCAACTTCAAACTCTTGGGCTTAAGCAATTCTCTTGCCTCAGTCTCCAGAGTAGCTGGGACTATAGGCACCCTCCATAATGCCCAGTTATTTTTAGAGATGAGGCCTTGCTCTGGCTCAGGCTGGTCTCCAACTGGTGAGCTCAGGCAATCCACCTGCCTTGGTCTCCCAGAGTGCTAGGATTACAGGCATGAGCTACTGTGCCCAGCCCTGAAATAATTTAAAAAATAAAAATATATTCATATATATTTTTAAAATAATGAAAATGAAATAGCAAAAATCAAAAAACAAAAAACAGAGTTTCAATTCCAGAAAGGAGAAATAGTTAAAATTTAAATGCATACTGTGAAAATGTTGTCTAGAACAGACCTACACGGAAGGTTTCTTTTATTCTGATGTTCAACATTACCAAAGTACAGATGGGTTTTGCCTGAGGCAAGTATCTTAATCTAAAAGTCTATTTCATTATTTTTTATTAATATATTTTTCCTTCACGAAATCTCATATGGATCCTACCTTTTGCCTACCATGTATTTTACCCTTATCTACAGAATCCAAGATATAATTTAGACACCATTTATAGCTATGTAGAGCATTTAGTATATTCCAACTTAATATATGACCCTGCCTTTTGTTTTATTTTTGAGACAGAGTCTCTCTCTGTTGGTTAGGCAAGAGTGCCATGGTGTCAACCTAGCTCATAACAACCTCAAAAACTCCTGGGTTCAAGCCATCCTCCTGCCTCAGCATTCTGAATAGCTGGGACTATAGACACTGCCTGGCTAATTTTTCTATTTTTAGTAGAATATAGGGTCTTGCTCTTGCTCAGGCTGATTGAGTAGTCCTAAACTCAAGGAATCCTCCTGCCTTAGCCTCCTGAGTAGCTGGGATTAAAGGCGCCCACTATAATGCTCAGCTAATTTTTTTTCTTCTATTTTTAGTACAGACGGGGTCTTACTCTTGCTCAGGCTGGTCTCCAAATCCTAGATTCAAGGGATCCTCCTGCCTCAACTTCCCAGAGTGCTAGGATTACAGGTGTGAACCAACTGCATGGAGGCTGACTTTGTCTTTTGACTTCAGTTTCATATCTAAATGTTAAATGTTACTTTTTGGACCTTGGCACCTAAAGAAGGCAAAGTTCTCATCTCTCTGAAGCTAGATTGTTTGGATTAGTTTTCCAACTTCTCTATACCTCAGTTTCATTTGTAAAGTGGGCATAGTAATAATCAATATGATAATAAGATGACATCAGTTACGTGTTTACAAAAGCACCTGGTATACAAAAGCCACTATACAAGTGCATGTCATTATTATTATTGCTATTATTATTATTCTCTCTCTCTCTATATATTTTTTTAAGAGACAGAGTCTCATTTTGTTGTCCTTGGTAGAGTGCCGTGGCATCACAGTTCATAGCAACCTCTAGTTCTTGGGCTTAGGCGAGTCTCTTGCCTCAGCCTCCTGAGTAGCTGGGACTATAGGCACCTGCCACAATGCCTGGCTATTTTTTGTTGCAGTTTGGCCAGGGCTGGGTTTGAACCTGCCATCCTCGTTATATGTGGCCAGTTCCCTACCCACTGAGCCACAGGCGCTGCCCATTATTATTCTATATTAATAGAGTACCTAAACTTCTGATCAGAGGAAGGCTATTTCCCTTACACTATATTTAAGAAAAATGTTTATAACCTCCACGATTCTGAGCCAAAGTCTAGCTCATCTTTCTCACTCACCCCTTCAATGAGCTTCAGACATTCTGTAAGAGTGTTGTTAATTTTACTGGACAATTCAAGCTGTGCTTTTCTTTCTTCCTCTTCTTTTTCAATGCTCTTCCAGAATGAAATATTCATTTCTTCTATTACTTTTCTTTTTGTCTTAAATTCCATTGGAGGCCTTTTATAGGTTTTTCCCTTAGATTTCTGCCATTCTTCCAGTTGTTTCCTGTCATCCAATTAAAGGGAGGGGGTTACTTTTCTCTTAAATATAGTCCAACTTTCAAAGTATATAATACATACAGATTAAGCCTAACACCTCAACTATTGACAAAATCAGGAGAATGGAATTAAAAAGCAATTTACAAATGGGTAATGATAGTACTAAGTTGCTCCCACGTGCGAGAAGGCAGATGCCAGGGTATTAGGATTATAAGTGGCCAGCACTTCGGTCTTTAAACTTTGTGGTCATTCTTTGTTATTTTTCTCTGAAAGTTTTATTTCACTGTATGCTACTAGACACTTGGCTTCCGGAGACATCTACCTTTGAAATCACTAACTTAGCACTGTATTTCTCCCATCATAAGGTTTCTATCTGTCACTAAACCCTGACCTCCCATGCTTGTATTCTGCCCTCATAGAGTCCTCTAGGGAACACGCATGACTCCCTTTCTCTCCTAAGCTAGGTCATTAATTTCAGGGCTCTTTTCTCAAATACCTGGTCTCTGATGGCACCAAATCCTAATTCTTGCTAGGAAGAACTGTTCATGTTCTCTAATCCTGCTTCTAAGCTGGCAATAGACTGCTTTTTGGGGTGTAAGGGACATCAAAACATGTAGATTCAAACATCTGCACTTGATCTTAGCCAAAAGGCCAAGAAGTGATAGACCCAAACATTTGATCACAGGTTTTCTAGCTTTCAAAATTACACCTATAGGAAGTTCCTGAGTTACAAACATCTGGCTTATGTACGACTTGCACTTATAGACAGAGGCTATTACAGGTAATAGGTAAATGTACCTGCTCCAATTTACATACATATTCGACTTAAGAACAAACCTACGGAACCTATCTTGTTCATAGCCTGGGACCACCTGTACTATTACTGATGAGTTCCAAATGTACATTCCAGCCCAGATCTCTCCTCTTGGTGCCCCAAACATTGTAAAGTCCAACTACCTAATCGATAACTTTGATTTAATGTCTGACACACATTTCCAATATAATATTATCCAAAACAATCTTCTTAATTTTCATCTCTAAATCTGTTCCTAGTTTTCCTTTTTTTGGTAAATAGCAGCCCAACTAAACCCAATTGCTAGGGCCCACACCTGGGAGTCGTCTGTGAGAAGTCCTTTCCTTTCCTTTCCTGACATCTGACACATCATCTCACGGTCAGTATTGCTTCTATTTACACTACAGCTATCCTAGTCTATAGCACTCTCACTTTGTTTGAAATGCTGCAACAGCCTAACTCATCTCCTCGCTTCCCTGCTAATCCTTAACTAACACACTCTGTGTACAGCAGCAAGTGACGTTTAAAATGTAAGCCAGATTATGTCACTGCCAAAGACTTCCAACAGCTGTTAGAATAAAATCCAAAATGTTTTCCCTGGCTGAAAGGCTCAGTGTAAAGTGGCTCCTGCCTGCCTCTCCAACCTCGTGTCATAAAACTCTCCCTCTCCCCTTCAGGAACTCTGGTATCTTTTCCCTTTCTTGACCCAAACTTGTTCCTGCCCCAGGGTTGTGGATCTTCAGTCCCCTGTTCAAATGACACCTCTTGGAAGAGGTAATTATCTATAATTGTCCTGTTTTATTTAATCAATGTGTTTTCTGTCTCTTCTACTACACAAGCTCTATAAAGGCAGAAATCTGGAGGTCCAGTCTCTCATACAGTATATGGCACACACAGGTATTTAGTAACATACAGTAGAATTTATCTTTCTTAGTGTCCAATTTTGTGAGTTTTAACCAATGAATGAAATAATGTAACCATAATTATTATCAATATATGACAGTTCCAATATCCTCAAAAATTCCTTCACGTTCCTTGGTAGTCAACCCCCAACCCGAAGTTCTTGGAAATAACTGATCTAATTTTTGTCCTTATAATTTTGTTTTTTCCAGAATGTCAATGACCAATTTTTTAAGGCATGAAGACGATTATATTAAGATTCTTTTTTTTGCAGTTTTTGGCTGGGGCTGGGTTTGAACCCACCACCTCCGGTATATGGGGCCAGCGCCAGTGCCCTACTCCTTTGAGCCACAGGCACCACCCTTATACTAAGATTCTTGTTTCTCCCTCGTTGACCCCAGAGCACAATCCATATGTTGTTTTAGTCCCAACTACTCCCTCTTATCTTCACTTTAACCACCTATTTGATGATAGAAGTTGAGACATCTAGCATGCATTTCCTCTGTGTTCCTGGCATTCTTCCTTCTAATCATGAGAGAACTTTCCTTTTCTTTTTAATTTTTCTTTTTGCTTTCATTTTTAGGTATGAGTCTGTTTTATTGTAAATCAAATGAGATTTTTCTTTTTTTTTTGAGACTGAGTCTCACTTTGTCACCCTCAGTAGAGTGCCATGGCATCATAGCTCACAGTAACCCCCAACTCTTGGGCCCAAGCAATTCTCTTGCCTCAGCCTCCCAAGTAGCTGGGACTATAGGCACCTGCTGCAATGTTTAGCTATTTTTAGATAGTGGTCTTGCTCTTGCTCAGGCTGGTCTCGAACCTGTGAGCTCAGGCAATCCACTCGTCTCAGTCTCCCAGAGTGCTGGGATTACAGGCATGAGCCACCATGCCTGGCTAGAACTTTCCTTTTCTAAAGCCAACTTTCTCATAGGATCTCAATGCTATAATTTTGTTTTCTTAGGACTTTCCATATATACATCAAATAGTAAGCTCCATAAGGGCAAAGACTATGATTGTGTGCTCAGCACTGTACCCTCTAGCTCCTGGCACATTGTAGGTGCTAAAGGAATACTTGGGGAATTAGAGAATGAATCTGTCCCCCTCCAGACTCATTCCCATTTTTAGTCCAACAAATTCAACAGGCAACACACTGTCTTATGACAAATCCTCTGTTGTCTGATCTAGACCATGGGTGCCAGGGCAGGGATCATCACCTTTTTATTCAGCAGCCCAGGGTCTTGGCACTTCCTGTTCTTTCTGCTTGAGATCAGCCATCTTGTCACCAGCCTTTTCCCAGGCTTAGGTCTCAAGGTCTCAGCTCAGATATCACAGCTGAAAGTACCTCCCCTGGCCCTTCTATCTAAAAAGCCATCCCAGCCCTACCCTCTTGGATCATATCACCCTGAATTAAGTAAGCTGTTTATTTCCTATCTTTTCAGGAGGGCAAAGAGCTTATTGGTGGTATTCAGGGCTGTACCTGGAGACTAAGGCCTGCCCTCAGTTCACTTTGTTATAGTTTTTAGCAACCATCTAATTTCACATGCTCCCTTCACCCTTGTCTGGAATTTCCTTATTTTCTACTCCAACAAGGTATATTATACATATGTGCCTCTCCTGGGGGGCTTATGCACATTATGAGAACAATGGCTGGTCCTGTGTGGAAAGAATACAAAATCCTTTGGCTCAGTTTCGAGTGCCCTGTATGTTAATGTTAAGGCCCAGCAGCCTGAGATCCTGCTTTCTGTCATCTGAATTCTATCTGAACTGATTGTTCCTCTCTGCTTTAGCTTATTTTCCAAAACTTGGCCCACTGAGACTTGTGGAAGCTTTGCTGCTTCTTTCCTGATAACTTGTTTTGAACTAGATCATTGGTCTGCTTGACAAGGGACTACTATTCTCCCACTTCGTAGCTATGTGAACTCACTATTCTGTCCTATTGCTATGGAGTACTTCTTGAAAGAGTAGTCTACATCTGCAATGCCTTTTTTCTTTGTTTTGAGACAAAGGCTTGCTCTGTCCTCCTGGCTATAGTACAGTGACATCGTCATACATGTAACTCAATAGAACCTCAAATTTCTGGGTTCTAGCAGTCTTCCTTTCTTAGCCTTAACAAATAGGTAGGAGTACAGGTGCATGCTACCGTGCCCAGCTAGTTTTTGTATTTTTTGCAGGAATGGGGTCTCCCTATATTGCTCAGACTGGCCTTGAACTGTTGGCCTCAAGTGTTCCTCCTGCTTCAGCCTCCCAAAGTGATAGTATTATAGATACGAGCCATGGTGTGGCCTGTAACTCAATTTCTTACTCATCCATTCTCTTTGTTTCGTTGTCTTTTTAACAAATAAACTATTTCAGCATACACAAAATTACAAAGAATGACTTATAACACATTTGTGTACCACCTAGTTTTATCAAGTCTTAATACTTCTTATATTTGTTTAACATATTTTTGTCAGGCTGTAGCTAAAAATTACTTAGAAACTGTATTTAAAGCCTACCTCCTGACAAGTATCCTTGATAGTTAATTTGCCTAATCATCTTAAGATGCAAAAGTTTGGAATTAAAGCAAAATACCTTCGATCCTCAACTGTTGCCTTCTTTTTAATGTTTGTATTCGCTTGGGTCCCATTTGGGTCTTTTTGTCCATTTCTGTTTGTGAAACCAGCTTGAGTTTTGGGAGCTGTCTTGTTCAGAAAATGGCTCTGGGGAAGACTCTTTTTCAATTTGGAGTCCAAAGTCTGTGCTTTTTGTTGAAAGCTGTTGCCACATTTATTACCATTGGTTCCATTTGCTCTTATGGTAGGGGTGCTTGAAATGACTGAATTAAAGTGGCCAACTGTCGAATTATGTTTCTGGCTCGTGGCTTTTGATTTTTGCAGTACACATGATGGTTGAGGTTTAAAACAAGTTTGAGTGGACTTCTGATTTTGTTTGATGTTTGAGTATCTGCTGTTATTTCCTCCAGGAAGCAGTCTGGAGTCTGTCCTGGGCTTGGTAGGTTTTACTTTCTGTTCAGTAACAGGGTATAACCGCAACTTAGTTTCATTTGGTCTTTCATATTTACTCCTATTAACCTTTATTTCTTTGACCACTGGTTTCTTTGATGATTGAGTCTTACTAAGAGTCTGAGATAACTGAGAGGGAGCTATCCTTGGGGGGTTTTCTCCTGGTCTTGCAAGATCTCTTCCTCTAGAGGGTTGCTGTGATTTTAGGGTTAGAGTCCTGATTCGTGTTTCTCCAACAGATTGTTTATTCATTCTGTCTTTCAGAATAGCATTATTAACTGAACTTTTGCCCAAGACTTGTTTAGAAGCCAGACTGTTCTTGGTTAGGTTATAAGAGTTAGTTTTTGGCTTATTTCGGGTACCTAATCCAGGGTCTGGCTTCTTCCCAGGTTTTGATAAGATTTGGGGCAAGTTCTCTTTGTTGGTATCTTTTAGAAAGCCACTCAAAGATTCATTTTCAACATGAATGTTGTCCACACAGTCTGTACATTTAGCAGTTCTTTGATCTATGACCTGTTTCTTTGTAGTTTTCAAATCTTGTATATTAAGTGACCCTGTGGGTTTTTTCGACAGTTCTCCCACAGTGGATGATCTAGCTTTATGCTGCTGACCACTCTTGCTAGAAGGCTTACAGTTTGGGTTAGTAGAGACATATGTTGAAATCAGCCTTTTGCCTGGAAGTTTTGGTGGCTCCAACTTTGGCTTCTGGCACCCTGTAATATTGGCTGGTCTGGGCTGGAGTTTAATACTAGTGGAACTTTTATCTTTGACAGGCAAAATGACATGGTTGGTAATATTCTTTTGAGGTCTAATAGTCTGAAAAGAAAAAGAAACATGTATATGAAAAAATTATAACAATAGCTCATTCTTTGTAAAATAATGACAAAAATAACTGTTTAAACACATTCTAGAAAAAAATAGCCATTTTATGTAGAATTTCATCTAAGAAATATGAATCCTGAGAAAGTAAACCTCACTAGTAGGTGATTTTTACAACTTGAGTTCCTATCAGAAATATGTCAGAATCTTTTAACTTGACAGAATCAAGCAGAGATGCAGTGAATATGCAAAAATTGCTGTTTAAAAAATGAATTTGCCTCAGATGAACGGTGCTTGCTGAGTGCTCATTATGTCCCAATGAAGTATCCTTCTAGAGACCATGGAAAAATATATAATGAACTTCGGGTACTTCCTGAGGGTTCCTCCTAGTATTTTGTACAGCTACATTATCTTTTTTTAAACCACTCCCTTTGTAAACATCACAGCATCACTCAAGAAACTGTCTTGCCCTAGAGATGAGCAATAATGAGATAGATAAGTGGTAGATGATAAGAGTCCTGAGATATGCAGGAACAGCTTTTGATCAATGTCTAATATCTTAGTAGAAAGTTAGTCATATTTGTGAAGTTAGTACAGTTTTAAGATTAGATTCTACAGTATCAATAAGGAAATGTTGAGTCATATGATTTCATTTTGGATAACAAAGGTAAGTTTAGGTTATAGAGAACTTTGAAATTAGGGAAGGGAGATTAGAATTGATATGTAAACAATTGGGCAAGGCACTGTGGATTCCAGAACATCCACAGTGGACGCAGTTACTCAGAAAGGAGAATTTGACAGAGATTTATAAAACATTTATCTTCACGTGTTGATTTGACAACACTGTGAAGAATTACTCTATACACTTGGCAAGTTTAACCAGACCATTTGGCATTAAGGACAAAGAGGTATCTACCCTGAAAAGGTACTGGTATGTGTGGTGTTGTGAGGGATGAATGGAGAGCTGGGAGTATAGGCAGAAAGATGGATGGGACACCCACAAGGGCTATATCTGGGTTACTCCTTAAGCCCCAACATTTATATCCACCTTAGATCTCCCTATCATTGCTTACTGAAAAAGTGGGGATATTGGTTTTCAAGTTTCTAAATGCATGTTATTTTAGTTGCTTTTTTTATATATTAAAAAGTCAAGATGTAATCCACAAATCATAAAATTCATCATTTTAGTAAGTGTATAATTCAGTGGATCTTAGTATATTCACAAGATTGTATACCAATCACCACTATCTAATTAGTGAACATTTTATCATCCCAGAAAGAAACCCAGTACTTGTTAGCAGTCACACCCCATTTTCCTCTCCCTACAGCCCTACTAATCTACTTTCTGTCTCTGTATCTCCATGGCTTTGCCTATTTTGGACATGCCGTATAAATGGAATCATGTAGAATGTGGCCTTTTGTGTCTGGCTTCTTTCACATAGCATAATGTTTTCAAAATTTACCCATTTTGTAGCATGTATCTGTACTTCATTACTTTTTGAAAATTAATAAACTTTATTTTTTAGAGCAGTTTTAGATTTATAGCAAAATTGAGCAGAAGGTATAGGGAGTCCCTGTATACCCTGTAATCACATACTTCATTATTTTTAATGGCTAAATAATATTCCATTGTTTACCACATTTTGGTTATCCATTCATCAATAGATGGACATTTGAGTTTTCACTTTTTGGGTATTACAAACATTTGTGTACAAGCTTTTGTGTGACTGTATGTTTTTAATTCTCCTGCGTCTCTACTAGGTGTAGAATTGCTGGGTCATTTGAGAAACTGCCAAACTGTTTTCCAAAGTGGCTATCCTATTTTATACTTTTACTGACAATACTTATGTGTTCTAATTCTCTCCACAACCTCCCCAACACTTGTAATTACCTGGGTTTTCTGATTATAGCTATCTTAGTAGGTGTGAAACAGATGTACTTCCCTGATAGCTAATTATACTGAACGTGTTCTCATGTCCTTATTGGCCATCTGTATATCTTCTTTGGAGAAATGTCTATTTAGGTCCTTTGCTCATTTTTAAATTGGGTTATTTGTCTTTTAGTTGTTGAGTTGTAAGGATTCTTTTTATATCCTGGGTATTAGATCTTTATCAGATGTATGACTTAAAAATATTTTCTCTCAATGTTTTAAAATTCCTGGCTAGAAACAGAGAATGAAAAACTTTTGTATTCCTTTGAGTAACAACATTGTAGTAAAGGTATTTGAGAAAATCTTTGTTCAAATCCTGGATCTGACCTTTACTGACTATATAATATTGCACAAGTACTTAATCTCTCTGATTCTCAGTCTTCTCATTTGTAAAATGGGAATACTAATACTATCTATCATGATGCATATCCTGGTTTTCAAAAGATAATTTTGATTTATAACTGTTGACCCAACATAATTGGTAATGACACTTCCTTTTTGCTCTCAAAGGTATCCTGGTTTGGACATTAAATCATACAGGTAACTTCCTTACAGGATAGCTATATGGGATACTGGGACAATGCATGTAAAGTGTCTTGCCCAGTACTTGGATAATAACCACTCAAATGTTAGCTGCTACTATTGTGTAACAAAAGTGTTATTATAAAGTATTATACAATAGTAATGATGACTATTATTTGCATAATGCTTTTAGGTTCTCCTAAATTCTGTAATTCCCTTTCCCATTGTATTTTTAACTTTACAACTATGGAAAGCTGATAAAGTAGGTGTCATTCTCCTTTAAGAGATGATTTACTGAAGTTAGTATTGTCAGTTCCCAGAGGCTTCTCTAGGATGAACGTGGGCCCTTTCCAGCAGAGTTTTCCTTAAGCCTTGGATGCTATACTGGTTCCATATTTATAAGGTAGAAATGTAATGCTTCCCAACTGTTTGAATCAGTGTGCATGAATTTTGCCTTATATACATTTTTTTTGTTCTCCAGCATCTAATGACGTCAAGGGTACACATCACATACATATGTCTACATATGCATATATTCACGTGACTGAAATGTGATAAAATGATTCAGTGAAGTGAATCACTAAAACTTATTAAAATTTTACCAGTGACAATATTTCACTTTAGGTAATACTATTTGAGTTGTACTTTATTTTATTTTTTTTTGACAGGAGCCTCAAGCTGTGCCCCTGGGTAGAGTGCCATGGTATCACAGCTCACAGCAACCTCCAACTCCTGGGCTCAAGCGAGTCTCCTGCCTCAACCTCCCGAGTAGCTGGGACTACAGGCGCCTGCCACAATGCCGGGCTATTTTTTGGTTGCAGCCGTCATTGTTGTTTGGTGGGCCTGGGCTGGATTCGAACCTGCCACCTTGGGTGTACATGGCTGGTGCCTTAGCCACTTGAGCCACAGGCGCTGAGCCTTAGTTGCACTTTAGAACTTGCATCTACAATTACAGTTTTAAAAATTGAAGGTGGGTTTTTTATTGGTTATCTTATTGCAGATAAAGAATTTGTGTCCCTTTCAGAGGTCTAATTTCTTCCATTTAAACCTTTAAGTAAATTAAGATCCTTTACCATTCTCTCCATAACTCAGCTGAATTGAATTGATTAGGAAGGATACACTTGTTCAATACTTTGGACGATCCAAGGTAAATGTTCTTTTAATGACTGTGGAGCTTCATGGCAGCATACCAAAGTGGTTACCACCACCGGTTCTCAGGGGAAAATACTTAACCTTTCTGTGACCCAGTTTGCTCATCTATAAAGTGTGGGGTTATGAGGACTCACTGAGATAATGCAAGTCAGAACAATGCCAGACACACAATAAATATTCAATAAATGTCATTTATTACGATAACCAAAGCCCGCTTAAGTTTTGAGGTTTTTTTGATTTATAAAACTAAACTACAATGTTATACTTTTCAAAAATGAGTCTATAGCTTATTAAATCAAAGTGCTCTTATATTTATAAAAAAAATCTTTGAAATAAATGTTTAGGTTGTTAACATCTTTATTATTTTTATTACTAATTATACTTCCAAAATGGCTATTTCTAAAAAGACTAATTTCTACTTACAGATTTAGAAGGTGGTAGATTCGGGCAATTATTCTTGGTTTTTAGATAAGGCCTACAAAAGACAAAATAAAATTAATCATCAATACAGAAGGACCCCCAAAAATTATGATTAGAATTTTAAATCACTGGAATTTCTGTAATGGTAAACTAATTCAAAATTAATTCAACAAAAAGTCTTCTCATTCCTTCTTGAGACCTATACTCTCCTTCTTAGAGACCACAACTGTTCTTACCCATTTCTTTTGTGGTCATTTCAGAGATATTCTATGTATAAATGTAGCATCCTAAGACTATTAATGATATATGTGTATTTGTTTCCTTCATATTTGTATAGTTTTATTCATTCAAGCACCATTCCTAGAACACTATAATGTTCCAAACTTTGGCGGTATAATGCCAATAAAATCATTACCAGGTTCTTTAAAAAATTTTCTTGTTTTTCTGGTCCTGCACCTCTCATCATTGACAAAAACTGATTTTCATTGGATAAAAGATTTAAATTTGGCTCGGCGCCTGTGGCTCAACCGGCTAAGGTGCCAGCCACGTACACCTGAGGTGGCGGGTTCGAATCCCCAGCCTGGACCCGCCAAACAACAATGACGGCTGCAACCAAAAAATAGCCGGGCGTTGTGGCGGGCGCCTGTGGTCCCAGCTACTTGGGAGGCGGAGGCAGGAGACTCGCTTGAGCCCAGGAGTTGGAGGTTGTTGTGAGCTGTGATGCCATGGCACTCTACCCAGGGGGATAGCTTGAGGCTCCGTCTCAAAAAAAAAAAAAAAAAAAAAAGATTTAAATTTAAGACATGAAACATGAGACATTTAAGACATGAAACTTTCTCTAGAAGAGATGTGGGATAAACACTTGAAGACATTAGTCTGAGAAAAAACTTTATGAGGAAGAACCCCTGGCAATTGTAGAAATACCAAAAATAAACAGCTGGGACTTGATCAAGCTAAAAAGCTTTTGCAGAACTAATGGTACTACAAACAAAGCAAACAAACAGCTGTCAGAATGGGAGATTTTTGCATGTTATGAATCTGACAAAGGTCTGATAACAAGAATCTATAGAGAACTTAAACAATAAGAAAAGTGCAAATAACTCTCTCTATAAGTGGGCAAGAGATTTGAACAGAAACTTCTCCGAGGATGATAGGCGAATGGTCAAGAAACACATGAAAAAATGCTCACCATCTTTAATCATCAAAGAAAGGCAAATCAAAACCACTCTAAGATATCACCTAATCCCAGGAAGATTAGCTCACTTCACAAAGTCCCCAAACACCAGATCCCAGCATGGTTGTGGAGAGAAGGGAACACTTCTATATTGCTGATGGGATTGCAAACTAATACAGCCTTTTTGAAGAGAAGTATGGAGAATCCTTCCATTTGACCCTGCAATCCTATTACTAGGTATCTACCCAGAAGAATAAAATTCATTTTACCACAAAGCCATATGCACTAGAATGTTTACTGAGTCTCAATTCATAATTGTCAAGAGGTGGAAGCAACCTAAATGCCCATCATCCAATGAATGGATCAACAAACTGTGGTATATGTACACCATGGAATATTATTCAGCCATAAAAAGATGGAGACTTTACATCTTTTACATTTACCTGAATAGAGCTGAAATACATTCTTCTCAGTAAAGTAGTGCAAGAATGGAAAAATAAATATCCAATGTACTCCACACTAATATGAAATCAATATATAAACAATTATATGTTCGTAAGAATAATAAAACACCAATATAGTCCAGTCCAGGAGTAGAGGGAAGCAGGGGGGAGGGGAGGAAGACATATGGCAGAAGGAGGGAGGGCATGAGACCGGATCTCACATAGTATGTACATTGTGATAATGTATAATATGCCCCCCTGGGTGAAGGCTCTTCTGCAAATGGAACTTTACCCTGGAAGTGAGAACATGTAACCTAAAAATGGTACCGTCATATTAATTTGAATAAAGTTTAAAAAAAAATAAATTTTGGGGTGGCACCTGTGGCTCAAAAGGGTAGGGCGCTAGCCCCATATGCCAGAGGTGGCGGGTTCAAACCCAGCCCTGGACAAAAAAAAAAAAAAGAAAGAAAAGAAAATAGCCAGGCATTATAGCAGGAGCCTGTAGTCCCAGCCACTTGGGAGGCTGAGGCAAGGGAATCACCAAAGCCCAGGAGTTGGCGGTTGCTGTGAGCTGTGTGAGGCCAGAGCACTCTACTGTGGGAGATAAAGTGAAACTCTGTCTCTACAAAAAAAATAAATAAATAAACTTTTGGGTGGCGCCTGTGGCTCAAAAGGGTAGGGCATCAGCCCCATATGCCAAGATGGCGGGTTCAAACCCAGCCCTAACTTAAAAAAAAAAAAAAAAATGAATAAATAAATAAATAAATTTTCTTGTTTTGGCCAGGTGCAGTGGCTCATGTCTGTAATCCTAGCAGTCTGGGAGACCAAGGCAGGTGGAGTGCTTAAGTTCAGGACTTTGAGACCAGCCTAAACAAGAGGGAGATCCTGTGTCTAAAAACAGCCGGGCATTTTGGTGGGCACCTGAGGTCCTAGGTCTTTGGGAAGCTAAGGTAAGAGGATCACTTGAGCCCAAGTGTTTGAGGTTGCTATGAGCTATGATGTCACAGCACTGTACTGAGGGCAACAAAATAAGACTATGTCTCAAAAAAAAAAAAAAAAGGTTTTTTTTCCCCTTGTTTTAAGAATCTTCAAATACTATCTTTGTCCATTCCAGAAGGGAAAGTGGAGGAAAGTAATAGAATAAAGAAAACAGGTACAGGGCCAGCACCTGTGGCTCAAAGGAGTAGGGCACTGGCCCCATATGCTGGAGGTGGGGCGGGTTCAAACCCAGCCCCGGCCAAAAAAAAAAAAAGAAAACAGGAACATACATACATGAAATCTAGCTAAGAAAACAGGAAATACAAAAAAAAAAAAAGATAGGGGAACAAAGGAGAATTCAGAAGAAATCAATCTCCATGGACAAAAACCAATTGCTAGTGTAATGGGGACTGTGATCATGACTTGTTTGATGTTTCTCTCTCCCATCTGGAAGATAAACTTTGGGAGGGCAGGGACCTCTCTTGCCTTTCTAAGTACCACATTTTCAGCATCAAGAGTGATATAAATAAATATTTGTTGAATAAATAAATTAGGTTCATTTAGTCAAAGAAATAGAGGTGAGTAAAAATCCAAGGTAAAATGAACATGAAAGCTAACTTTGTAAAAATTACTTTTCAAGTAAAAATTAAGCAAGCCAACTAGGGAGAAAATACATCAATGACCTCAAAAAGGATAAATAACATCACTAAGACGGTATGATGTTGACAAAAGATAAAAGCATGGTCATCATGTTCTGTACACTTCAATAGCAAATGTCAGGCTGGAGGATGTCAGTGTGCTGCTACTCTAACTGGCTTTCTTGTGTTAGCAAGAAAGACTACAGCCAGGGTCATTCAATTTCTTGACCCAAAATCGCCTTCATAAGAATTAACTTTCTCGGCTCGGCGCCTATAGCTCAACCGGCTAAGGCGCCAGCCACGTACACCTAAGGTGGCGGGTTTGAATCCCCAGCCCGGACCCGCCAAACAACAATGACGGCTGCAACCAAAAAATAGCCGGGCGTTGTGGCGGGCGCCTGTGGTCCCAGCTACTTGGGAGGCGGAGGCAGGAGACTCGCTTGAGCCCAGGAGTTGGAGGTTGCTGTGAGCTGTAATGCCACAGCACTCTGCCCAGGGGGACAGCTTGAGGCACTGTCTCAAAAAAAAAAAAAAAAAAAAAAGAATTAACTTTCTCAAGAACAAGAGCAGACAAAAGTTTCTAGGATGGTGCATAATACTGGATAGAACCTTCTCTCCTTCCTTTGGAGACTGTCATTATAACAACACTTAAATCTTTGCCAGTGGACCAGACATGACCCAGGGCTCATGCTTGGACTGAAATCCTCTTTTTGAGTCATAAGAGCCCAATGCAATCTGAGCAGACTATGAGCAAAAAGGCTGTTTCAAAAAGGCATTAAGCTGCTATTACAAAAAGGGCAATGAACTTGGGTAGACAAACTCACTTAGTGTTTTGGCTCTTCAGTTTTCCCTTGGCTGCTAGGTACTCCTGAAGCTTTCTCTGCCGTTCTTCTGAAAAAATAGGCAAGCAAACAAAAAGAACTTTAGCTTGAGACTGTAATCAATTCACTAATAATCTAACAGATGATGCTTTTCTGTAATGATTTCGGCTTTGCACCATGTTATAAAGTCCCTAGTTCTATAAGTTTGCATTCAAGTTAATATTAACATCAATAATATCATTTACATGCCAGGCCTTATACTAAGCTTTTTACATTATTTCTTCTAATCCACACAATCATCCATTGAGGTATTTTGCAGTCTGAAATTGAGAGAGGGTACTATATTTTGCTGTGTGTAACAAGCACTTTTTTGCCCAAATTTTGAGGGAAAAATAAGGATGTGCATTATGTATGGAAGGAAAATTCTGCATCTATGTTAATGTTTTGAATTCTTTTATTTAGGCTTATGTGTTAAAAGTGTAACTCTAAAAGCAGTAACAATATCTGTATGCAAAATAATACCCTAGAATATGGTAAATGGTTTTGTTGAACTTATAACAAACTTGCAATGAAAGCATTTTTGGCTAACAAATAGCTGAAAAGTTATAACGATGTTATTTCTCTTCATACACTTTAGGTGGGAGCTAGCAATCTAGCTGATATTTTTACAAAAATTATTGGAAAATCCCTTGGAAAATGTCAAAATGGTTTTCGTACATTGTGAGCTTTAAGCTAGCAGTTATTAAATATGCTAAAGAGTATTGTAACATGGGCGGCGCCTGTGGCTCAAAGGAGTAGAGTGCCGGCCCCTTATAAGGGAGGTGGTGGGTTCAAACCTGGCCACGGACAAAAACTGCAAAAAAAAAAAGCATTGTAACAGAGCTGCTAAGAGACACTTTGGACCTCTTTTATTTTACATAAAATTTCTTGCACCATAAGATGTTAAAAAATAAATGCTAAAACTTCTTTACCAAAAAAACAAGCACCTAAATATGAACAAATAAAAAGGTTTGAATTAAAAAGTTAAAATGGAAGATTTTTTTTTTTAAAGTTTAGGCCAAAAACATGGGTGTGCATTATACATGGCAAAATATGGTAAGTTTTATAGCAATCAAAAGTTATACATGGATTTTCCACTGTGAGGGGTTTTGGTACCTCTAAACCTCATGTTGTTCAAGGGTCAACTGTAAGTTAGTCCCAGGGGTGCATCTGAATGTCATAAGAGCCTTCCAGTAGTGAGTTTCACTTGATCTTAGCCAAAAGGCCGAGAGGGGATCAGTAGTGAGTTTTAAACTCATGGAATTATGCTAGCAGAAGACAGACAACCACTAGTTAGGGATGTTGGCCAGATGCCTCTATGAATGACCCTTTTTAATTCTGCCTTTTAGTACGGTTGTGAGACACAGTGTCTTTACTTCCAGAAACACTCTACTCAGTTACCTAGATAATACATGACAAAGCCAGGACTTGAAATAGGTTTATTTAATTCCAGAGCTGTTGCTCATAGCTACTATTCTCAGCTACATCCAGCAGTGTCCAACCTTTTTTCTTTCTGATGCACACTTGAATAATAAGAGTTTTCTTGGGTCACATGTTAAATACACAAACACTAACAAAAGCTAATGAGCAAAAGAAAAAAAGTCCACGAATACTTTTTGCAGTGTCTGACACCACTGATAAAACAATCCTCAAATAATCTGCATGCAGCCCATGGCCCGCAGGTTGAATACCCCTGTATGCTTTGCATGAAGAAATTCTGTTATTGGCCCACCTGAGCTGCTAAGCCAGGGCTGGTCTTGTTGTTTTTGTTTGTTTCAGAGACAGAGTATTGCTCTGTTGCCCAGGTTAGGGTGCAATGGTTCAGTCACAGCTCACTACAGCCTGGAACTCCTGGGCTCAAGTGATCCTTTTGCTTCGGCCTCCCCAACAGCTAGGACTATAGGCACTCACTACAAATACCAGCTAATTTTTTCTTCTTTTTTTAGAGACAGAGTCTCACTTTGTTGCCCTGGGTAGAGTGCTGTAGCGTCACAGCTCACAGCACCTCCAGCTCCTGGGCTTAGGCATTCTCTTGCCTCAGCCTCCCGAGTAGCTGGGACTACAGGTGCCTGCCACAATGCCTGGCTATTTTTGTTGTTGTTGTTGTTGCAGTTTGTCTGGGGCCAAGTTTGAACTTGCCACCCTTGGTATATGGGACTCATGCCTTACTGAGCCACAGGTGCCTCCCACCACCAGCTAATTTTTATAGGGAAGGTATCTTGCTGTGTTACCCAGGCTGGTCTCAAACTCCTAACCTCAAGTGATTCTCCTGCCTTTATAGGGAAGGGATCTTGCTGTGTTACCCAGGCTGGTGTCAAACTCCTGACCTCAAGTGATTCTCCTGCTTCAGCCTCCCACAGTGGCTGAGCCACTGTGCTGCCTGCTCTTACTTTTTTTTTTGGACAGAGAGGATGGTATTTACCCACATACCCTTACACAGCTTCCTTTGAGACTAAGGCTAAAATATGGGAGGTTATAGAGACTCATGGAAAATATCTATAGTATTGTGACTTTCTAAGTAAGGCGTTTGTGAGGGAATGAAAAGTCAGAATGTTTGCCTATAAGAAGTTCCAATCCAGTAGGGGAGATACAATAAATACAACAAAATTACAATATAAGGCAAAATCTAGGTACTATCAGAGAGAGTTAAAGAAAAAAATTATGGGAGCTCATGGGTGGGGAATGGGTAAGCAAAATAGGTGGTTGGACAAAGTTAAATTAAATGATGATTTTTTTATAAACGACTGCAGGGATAACTAACTACTCTTAACCCCATCTGAACTGAGTTGCCTGTGTTCTGTGCTCTGACTCTGATGCATCTTTGTGAGATGGCTGCAGAGAAACGTATCTTAGATCCATGCCAGGAAGAGCGTAGGGGCTGAGGAGTGTGACAAAGAGGACTTGAGTCCCAGCTCTGTGACATCTGGCAAGTTAGCAAACTTTGCTGCTGCTGAGCCTGTAAAAGGCGGACAGAAATGCCCATATGTAAGGGTTGTTATGTAAATTCTACAAGGACCCAGTAGACATCAATAAGTACAAAGGATGAAACAAAAGACCTGCTGAGCATTGTGAAGGTGGCAACCAGCAGCAGCACTTTGAAAGGCAGGAAAGGGCTCCAGGCACATCAGGAGCCTTAGTGCTCCAGCAGATTTAACCAGTTAACTTATAGCCAGGGAAGGTTCGAAAGGTGTGGAGGAAAAAGCCCCGCGTCCGAGGCAGAAGACCCGGGTTGGGGTCGGACCCCGCCGGGCTCCGCCTGGGGCCAAACGTGGGTGGGAGGGGCGGGCTGCTTCCCTCTGATGGGTGAGTCCGAGCAAAGGGCTCAGTGTCTTTTTCTGCAGCTTCAGGGCTTACCGGGAAGATGCCCGTGAGGTGGCCCTGCGTATAGCCTCCTTTACCCCAGACCCTGACGCCGTCCCGAGGGCCGGGACCTGGGCTCCCGGGGACACCCGGGGGGAGACTGAGGCAGGCAGGCAAGCGGGCAACTTCTCCAGGAAAAACTCACTCTGGCCTTCCTACTTCCCCGCCCGTGTTCCAACGCCTTCCAGAAACAGGGGCCCACTCGCAACTTACCCGCGGCGGCAGACGTAGCGGGCCCCGGCCCCACCATGACTCCTCAGTAACAGTTTTTCTTCAAAGGCCGCGCCTGGAGCCTAGTCCGGCGCGCCCCGCGTCCGCGCACTCTGATTGGCTCCCATAGGTTTGAAACTCGCCAGTTTCCAACAGGGAAGGGCGGGGCAACAGGAAATACACCCATTGTGGTTGGCTGTGGCTCCCTTGGCCCTCCTCTGGAGCCCTTAGATTGGAAGAAAGTGCAACGCTCCCAGCGCTGTGCCTGTGGGGGGCGGAGCCGGCCTCCGAGCCCCGCCTCCGAGCCGGCCCCAGGCTCTCTGAGGATCTTTGGGCCCGGCGGGGCGCTGTGTGTAGAACCGTGTCTCGCCGGAGTTGGCGCTCGTGAGCAGAGTGACAGGCGCCGCCTCCTGATTCTCTCAGACTCTCAGATTTACAAGAGCTATGAAAAAATAAACAACAAAAACAAAACCCACCAAAATCTGATGAGTTAGGCGCTTTTTCAGGAGCATATCTCTTGTTACAGGTCTTACTAAAGACTTCTTAGTACTGCAGAATGGCTTTTTAAAAAATTGTGGTAAAAATATACATAACATCAAATTTACTATTTTAGGCTCGGCGCCTGTGGCTCAAGCGGCTAAGGCGCCAGCCACGTACACCTAAGGTGGCGGGTTCGAATCCCCAGCCCGGCCCGCCAAACAACAATGATGGCTGCAACCAAAAAATGGCCAGGCGTTGTGGCGGGCGCCTGTAGTCCCAGCTACTTGGGAGGCTGAGGCAGGAGACTCGCTTGAGCCCAAGAGTTGGAGGTTGCTGTGAGCTGTGATGCCATGGCACTCTACCCAGGGGGATAGCTTGAGGCTCTGTCTCAAAAAAACAAACAAACAAACAAACAAAACAAATTTACCATTTTACCCATTTATGCTACATTTGTAGCATTTATGCTACATTCACATTGTTGTGCAACGATCACCATCATCCATTTCCAGAACTTTTTCATATTCCCAGCCTGAAACTCTGTCCCATCAAATACTAACTCCCCATTTTCCCCTGGCCCCAGCTTCTGGCAACCCCCATGGCACTTTGTGTCTCTATGGAATTGACTACTCTAGGTACCCTGTAAGTTGAGTTATGAAGTATCTGTCCTGTGACTGGCTTGTTTAACTTAGCATAAAGTTTTCGAGGTTCATCCATACCGTAACATGAGTCAGAATTTCCTTCCCTTTTAAGGCTAAACAACATTTCATTGAATGGACATCATACATTCTGATTATCTGTTCATTCCTTATGAACGCAGGTTGCTTCCACCTTCCAACCTTCCAGGTTGCCATATGAGTATTACTGCTATGAATGTGGGTTTACATATAACTCTTTGAGATCCTCATTTCAATTCTTTAGGTAAATATAAAAAAGTGGTATTGTTGGATCAAATGGTTATTCTGTTTTAAATCTTTGAGGAACTGCCATACCCTCTTCAGGGGGGTGCTGTTTAATGTATATTTTTGACCTAGCCCCATCAGCTAGATGTATGCCTGACTGAGAAAGGGATGACTGAGAAAGTCCTAGTTGTCTTGAGTCCTTAGATAACACCTCATTCTCCTTGTTTCAATCCTACATCTTTTTCATTTGAAGTTTGTCCCCTCTTTCATCTATCCTCCAGCTGAATGAGGAGTTCTAGAAATTGCTCTTGGCCCCTTGTGTGTCCTTTTCTCTGGGTTCTGGGTAGAGAGGAGCAGTCATATCTGGGCCCCTGTTTGCCAGGCTCGTGTACATCACCAGCTGAGTACTCAACAGTGCATGAAGACCTTGCAGAAGCCATTATCTTTGGTCCCAAATAGGGAGTTTGGGTCCCCATCCAAGGTTTCTAGATTTGTGAATTTTGACATTTATATTAGTAGTATAAAATGTTTACATATGAAAGGTGATTTTTATTTTAGTAAATATTTTGAACTCTTTGTCTAGGACCATGATTTTATGGCTAATGGTTAAATACAGCAGCTGGTTAAGAGCCTTCTTTGTTAGAAGGGGTAGAAAAGGGTTCCTTCATGGGCAGTTTTGGAGAAGTGAGGGGGGTTCTGTTGATCTACATAGATTCAGGGTGATTAAATGGGTTCCAGTTTTAGAAATCATGTTGCCTGATTCTCCCAGTGCTGGAGAATTCTACAGATCACATATAGGTATTGTACCTTTGCAGAAATACTGCTGGTGTTGGGGAGTTGTCTTTGGAAAGCCTTGATTATTGTGAAACTTCCCTTAAAATGAGTTCAAACCTCCCTCTCACGCATTGATCCTGATCCTTCGGAGCAAATAGGCTAGTTCTGCATCCTTGCTATCATCCTTATTATCATCCTTTGGATGTATGAAGGACTATTTTATAGGACACAAAATGAAAGAAACTACACAGATTTTAGAATTCTCAGCTCATGCAAAGTGTCCACTGTAGTTCTTCTTGATCCTCATGGCTTTTATGGCTCTCATTCTAAAGACTTGCATGTCCCTGCAGGGTCTGGCCTTTGTCTACTTTCCCTGGCTCACTGTCATCTAGTCAGACTGCTTTTTCTTTTCTTTCTTTCTTTTTTTTTTTGAGACAGAGTCTCACTATGTCACTCTTGGTAGAGTGCCATGCTCACAGCAACCTCAAACTCTTGGGCTTAAGCAATTCTCTTGCTTCAGCCTCCCAAGCAGCTGGGACTACAGACACCAGCTATGAGGCCCAGATTTTTTTTGTTGTAGTTGTCATTGTCGTTTTAGCTTGCCCGGGCTAGTTCAAACCCACCAGCCTCAGTGTGTGGCCAGTGCCCTACCTACTAAGTTACACGTGTCACCCACACTGCTTTTTCCTTCAGCTCCATCTCCTACTCTTCTCTCTGTCAGGGAATCCTCCTTGTTTTTCCTAGTTAATTATTATTATTATTATTATTTTTATGTAGCAGCTTTATTAAGATGGTCACATACCATACGATTCACCCACTTACAGTGTACAATTCAATTTTAGAATATTATCATCACCCCCTAAAGAAGCTCTATACTCATTAGCAAGCACTCCCATGCTCCTCTTCTCCCATCCTCTGAAAACCACTAATTTGCTTTCTTTCTTTCTTTCTTTTTTTAGAGACAAGAGTTTTACTCTGTTGCCCAGACTAGAGTCAGGGTAGTAATCATAGCTCACTGCAGCCTTAAAATCCTGAGTTCAAGTGATCCTTTTATCTCATTTTCCCATTAGCTAGGACTACAGGCATGTGCCACTATGGCCAGCTAATTTTATTTTATTTTTTTGTAGAAATGGAGTCTCTCTGTTGTCCAGGCTGGTTTCAAACTCCTGGCCTCAAGTGGTCCTTCTGCCTTGGCTTCCAAAAGTGTTGAGATTATAGGCATGAGCCATTGTGCTAAGTCTCTACTTTCTTTCTCTATAGATTTGCCTGGACATTTCACATACATGGAATTTGCAATATGTTGTTCGTGATGGTCTTATTTTACTTAGCATAATGTTTTCGAGGTTTATTTATGTTGTGACATGTATTGGTACTTCATTCCTTTTTATGACTGGATGATATTCAAGTGTGTGAATATGCTGCCTTTTACTTACCCATTCATCAGTTAATGCACATTTAGGTTGTTTCCACTTTTTGAATAATGCTGCCACGAATATTTGTGTATAAGTTTCTGTGCAGATATATGCTTTCAGGACTCATGGGAATATACTTAAGAGTAAGGTTACTGGGTGATATGATAACTGTATGTTTAACCATTTGGGAACTGCTGGACTGTTTTCCAAAAGCAGCTGCAGCATTTTACATTCCCATCAGCAGTGTACAAAGGTTCGAATTTCTCCACATCCTCCATAACACTTGTTCTTGCTCATCTTTTTGATGACTGTGTACAACTATACTAGTGGCTGTGAAGTGGT